GGACTGGGAGGGAACTGGGAGGGACTGGGAGGGAAGTGGGAGGAACTGGGGGGGACTGGGAGGGAAGTGGGAGGGACTGGGATGGAACTGGGTTATACTGGTTTATACTGGGTTGTTCTGGGTTATACTGGGATGCACTGGGTTATACTGGAATGTCTCAAAAAATCCCCACCCCAAGTGACCACACCCCCTGACCACACCCACTGACCACACCCACTGACCCGACTGAACCACACTGACCACTGCCCACACTGACCACTGACCACACTGACCCCACTGACCACACTGACCACACTGACCACACTGACCACACTGACCACACTGCCCACACTGACCACACTGCCCACACTGCCCACTGCCCACACTGCCCACACTGACCACTGACCACACTGACCACACTGACCACTGCCCACACTGACCACACTGACCACACTGACCACACTGACCACACTGACCACACTGACCACTGCCCACACTGCCCACACTGACCACACTGCCCACTGACTACACTGACCCCACTGCCCACACTGACCACACTGACCACTGACCACACTGACCACTGACTACACTGACCACTGACCACACTGACCACACTGACCCCACTGACCACACTGACCACACTGACCACTGACCACACTGACCACTGCCCACACTGCCCACACTGACCACTGACCACACTGCCCACACTGACCACTGCCCACACTGACCACACTGCCCACACTGACCCCACTGCCCACACTGACCACACTGACCACACTGCCCACACTGACCACACTGACCACACTGACCCCACTGACCACTGCCCACACTGCCCACACTGACCACACTGCCCACACTGCCCACACTGACCACACTGACCCCACTCCCCACACTGACCACACTGACCACACTGACCCCACTGACCACACTGACCACACTGCCCACACTGCCCACACTGCCCACTGCCCCCGCTGCCCGCTGACCGCTGTCGGTGCCCGCAGCGCCGGGGCCGTGCCAGCGCTTCCACGGGCGCTGCGGGCAGAACGTGGCGCTGGCGGCCGAGGGCCTGGGCGCGGCGCGCGTGGCCGGCTACTGCCACGGGCTGGTGTTCAGCCGCTCGCACCTGCGGCCCGGAGAGCTCTTCGAGGTGGGCACGAGAGGGCGCCGTCGCTTTAAGGGAGTGGGCGGGGCCACGGGGGGCGGGGCCTGAGGGGGTGGGTGGGGTTACCTGCCAGGCCACGCCCGCAGGAGGGGCAGGAAATGGGTACTGTCGCTTTAAGAGAGTGGGCGTGGCCATGGTGGGCGGGGCCTGAGTGGCTGGGGGTGGGTGGGGCTACCTGCGAGGCCACGCCCCCACGAGGGGCAGGAAAAGAGCAGAAAATGTGCGCTGTCGCTTTAAGAGGGTGGGCGTGGCCACAGTGGGCGGGGCCTAAGTGGGTGGGGGTGGGTGGGGCTACCTGCGAGGCCACGCCCCCACGAGGGGCAGGAAATGGGCGCTGTCGCTTTAAGAGAGTGGGCGTGGCCACGGTGGGTGGGGTGCAGGACACGCCCATGGGTGGGCGGGGTTACCTGCCAGGCCACGCCCCCGGGAGGGGCAGGAAATGGGCGCTGTCTCTTTAAGAGAGTGGGCGTGGCCGCAGTGGGCGGGGCATGGGGATAGGCCACACCCCTCACTGGGAAGCCCCGCCCCCCCAGGTGATTGAAACGCTCCCAGGTGAGTTCTGGGCTCACCTGTGCCCCGCCCCCACCCAGGTGTGCTCAGGGTAGGCCCCGCCCCCATCCAGGTGTGCTCAGGGTCGGCCCCGCCCCCAGCCAGGTGTGCTCAGGGCTGTCCCCTCACCCTCACCTGTTCCAGGCATGTCCCAGGTGTGTCCCAGGTGTGTCCCAGGTGTGTCCCAGCCTCACCTGTCCGTGTCTCACCTGCCCAGGTGTGCACTGAGGCCCTGGACGAGCGCTGGGCGGGGTCAGTGTGGGGGGGGCTGGGTCAGGGCTCCCCCAGGTGTGTCCCAGGTGTGTCCCAGCCTCACCTGTGTGTCTCACCTGCCCAGGTGTGCACTGAGGCCCTGGATGAGCACAGGGTGGGTGGGGCTGGGTCAGGGCTCCCCCAGGTGTGTCCCAGGTGTGTCCCAGCCTCACCTGTCCGTGTCTCACCTGCTCAGGTGTGCTCTGGATGAGCGCTGGGTGGGTGGGGCTGGGTCAGGGCTCCCCCAGGTGTGTCCCTCACCTGTCCCAGGTGTTTCCCAGCCTCACCTGCGTGTCTCACCTGCCCAGGTGCGCATCGAGGCCCTGGACGAGCGCTGGGCGGGGTCCCTGCGGGTGGGGCTGACGGCCCTGCCCCCGCCCGGGCCCCCCGCCCTGCCCCCCTCCCTGCTGGACCTGCCGGCGCCGCCCACCTGGGCGGTCACGGGCGCCGAGGTGCGGCACAACGGCGCCCAGGTGCGCCACAACTACGGCGTCAGCCTGGACAGACTCACGGTCCGTGCGCACCTGGGGGGCCTGGCTCACCTGGGATGGGATTTGGGGTCATTTGGAAGGGATTTGGGGTCACCTGGGTGCACCTGGGTTGGGATTTGGGGTCACCTGGGCTCACCTGGAGGGAGTTTGGGGTCACCTGGGGGGGTTTGGGTCATTTGGAAGGGATTTGGGGTCACCTGGGCTCACCTGGGGGGAGTATTGGGGTCACCTGGGGGGAGTTTGGGGTCACCTGGGGGGTTTTGGGGTCACCTGGAAGGGATTTGGGGTTACCTGGGCTCACCTGGAGGGAGTTTGGGGTTACCTGGGCTCACCTGGAAGGGATTTGGGGTTACCTGGGCTCACCTGGAGGGAGTTTGGGAGGTTTTGGGCTCACCTGGAGGGGATCTGGGGTCACCTGGGCTCACCTGGGTTGGGATTTGGCGGGATTTTGGGCTCACCTGGGCAGTGACCTGTGCCCAGGTGCGCCACAACTACGGCGTCAGCCTGGACAGACTCACGGTCCGTGCGCACCTGGGCCCACCTGGGGGGGTTTGGGGTCACCTGGGGGGGTTTGGGTCATTTGGAAGGGATTTGGGGTCACCTGGGCTCACCTGGGGGGAGTATTGGGGTCACCTGGGGGGATTTGGGGTCACCTGGGGGGAGTTTGGGAGGTTTTGGGGTCACCTGGAAGGGATTTGGGGTCACCTGGGCTGACCTGGGGGTGTTTGGGGTCACCTGGGCTCACCTGGGGGGAGTTTGGAGATAGTTTTGGGGTAAATTTGGGGCATTGCGGGTGGGGAACCAGCTGGGGATGGATTTTTGGGATATTTTGGGATAATTTTGGGATATTTTGGGATAATTTTGGGATATTTTGGGATAATTTTGGGGTGTTGCAGTTAGGGAACCGGCTGGGGATGGATTTTGGGACGTTTTGGGATATTTCGGAATATTTTGAGATATTTTGGGACATTTTGGATAAATTTAGGATAATTTTGGATAATTTTGCAGGTGGGGAACCGGCTGGGCGTGGATTTTGGGGTATTTTGGGACATTTTGGATAATTTTGGACAATTTTGGATAATTTTGCAGGTGGGGAACCGGCTGGGCGTGCGCCGCGGCGCCGACGACTCGATGCACCTGCTGGTGGACGGGCAGGACATGGGACCCGCGGCCACCGGCGTGGCCAAGGTGGGCACGGGGCACCCAAAACACACCTGGGGCACCCAAAACACACCTGGGGCACCCGAAATACACCTGGGGGCACCCAAAATACACCTGGGGGAACCCAAAACACACCCGAACACACCTGGGCGCACCCAAAACACACCTGGGGCGCCCAAAATACACCTGGGGAGCCCAAAATACACCTGGGGCACCCAAAATACACCTGGGGCACCCAAAACACACCTGGGGCACCCAAAACACACCTGGGGAGCCCAAAATACACCTGGGGCACCCAAAATACACTTGGGGCACCCAAAAACACCTGGGGGGCACCCAAAATACACCCGAACACACCTGGGGCACCCGAACACACCTGGGCACAGCCAGAATACACCTGGGGCACCCAAAACACACCTGGGGCACCCAAAATACACCTGGGGTCACCCAAAATACACTTGGGGGCACCCAAAATACACCTGGGGGCGCCCAAAATACACCTGGGCACACCTGGGCACAGCCAAGACACACCTGGGCACACCTGGGACACACCTGGGCACAGCCAAAACATACCTGGGCACACCTGGGACACACCTGGGGCACACCTGGGCACAGCTGGGGCACACCTGGGGGGTACCTGGGCACACCTGGGGCACACCTGGGGCACACCTGGGACACACCTGGGGCACACCTGGGACCACCTGGGCACACCTGGGGGGTACCTGGGCACACCTGGGACACACCTGGGCACACCTGGGACACACCTGGGCACACCTGGGCACACCTGGGCACACCTGGGGGGTACCTGGGCACACCTGGGACCACCTGGGCACACCTGGGGGGTACCTG